AAATATTGTTCGAAATATTCAAAAAAAACTATTTTAAAAAGTAAAGCCACGCATTTTTCGACCCATGTTTATATAGACTTTATGCATTAATTTTAAAAGTTCTATCGAATCTTAAAGTTATGCAACAATAAACTGAAACACCCTGTATAGGTTGTCCAAGATCAGGATTCTATGTATGGGTTCTCGATACCTGTACGAGAGACGGCTTAAGTTAAATAAGGGAAAAACTGCGTTTTTTGGGGCGTATTTGCAAACTTGTACAAATTTTATCATTTTTATTTTTTTCTGACTCTATTTTAAGAAATATCAAAAATCTTTCCCATTGGCACTAGGTGATGGTGTTAATTGTAAATTAATAAATTGTAAATATTATTCCTGACGTTTTGTTTTGAAAAAACGATTCTTTTATATGAGAAAAAAGTACACCCCGTATATTTTCCTACGAATCGTTACATTTGTTTTCTTAATCGTAAAGAAAAATGTCTTTTTTAATTTTTTATTTTAAGTAGGCGTTGCAAACAAATGCTTGATGCAAGATCATGTAACATTTATTTTCTTGGTTATAGGAAAACATGCTTTTCTCCGATTTTTCTATTTTTCTTTAAGTAGGTGTTGCAAACAAATGCCGGACTTGACGTAAATATCTCCCACAGAGTATTGTTATTATTGTGTATGTGGTGGAAAGGTGAAGTGTCCTGGCAAGCGCGTACCCCAGATTCAACTCCTCTGGAGTTTTTTGTTTGGGGTTTTATTGCAAACCAACTTTATCGGCATACTTATGAAATTGAGCAGCAGTTACGGAAGCATTTAGTATGATTAAACCAGAAATGTTATGTGACGTTTTGGATTCCACTGTTAGAAGATCATATTTATGTTTAGAACATCATGGCAGCCTACTTGAAAACAACTGTAACATATCATACATCGTTGAATTCCTAGAAAAAGCTATTTTTGGACCATATAGGCATAAAAAGAGCCAATGAAACTGTAGCATTAGTTTTTTGATATTTCTTAAAATAAAGTCAAAATACGATTTGACCAAATTTTAGTTTCTCAGCGGCATCTAATTACGCCCCAAAAAAACGCAGTCCCCAATTCAACCTGAACTTCCACAGGTATTGGGAACCCCATTCATCGGACACCCTGTATACCACTAACGTGTATCAGAGACAAGCGCGTTAGAAAGAGATAGAAGCACTAGGTACGTTGCCTAGCAACCTGAGTGACGATCCACAGACGTAGCTGCTGCGTTGTAGAGTTGTTGATTCTCGTTACTCGTTACTCTCGTCCAAAGTAATCATGTATTGTATTCGTTACTTTGGTTACTATGGGTAGTACGAGAACGATGATTTGGCAACCCAATTAATGACTAATGTCGAATTTGAACAACTTCAATGGAACGACTATATCATGCTTTAGTTTAGTTATCTTGTAAGAAAATAATCTTAAAATTAGCAAACATCTGCCGTGCTTAATGCGTACATCGTGTCTTTAAATTTTATGCAAAACGGGTGTCATGTTGTGTGCCTAAAAACTGAAAATAGTTTATATTTACTAGAAATGCTTCGAAAGCATGCCTTAGATTTTGGTCTGGGCTTGGAAGAAATTCGGAATTGCAAGTAACTTTTCAAAGCATGTAGCAGTATAAGAAATTCCATGTGGTCTAGTCTACACATACCACCGGAATGTGGCAACCCTGATGCATGAGCGAGTACTGAAATCATTTGGTGCTCGCATGGTGACACGTTACTTCGGGTATCCATAAGTAACAAGTACTCGAGTAACGAATAGTTACTTTTTCAACACCTCTACAACGTTGCCATCAGTCCTGTTCGTACAGCTGTCGCAACCTGTCAGTTATCGTGTCCAAGACAATTCCGTTCATTCTGCTACGCTACATAGACAGAATTTACACGGCCGTATCCCAGACACACTCACCGACCACTGTACGAAAGCGCACTCTTTCTAACATACGCTTCTCTTTCGTATCCATCACTTCGTCAGTGATACTTGGATTTCTCTGTATAGAAAACATGAACGTTTCCACATTCTTTCCGAACCTGCACCTGTTGCATTCGCCTAGCGACCGTCGTGCCGTGATTCGTCCGTCATAAACTCTCTGGTGTCCGTGCATTGGGCAGCCGCGCTGCTGCCCCTGCTGCCCTCGGTCGCCGGCTCGCCGCCCGTCGCCCACCAGCAACAATCGGCCCAACGTCGTCGCCGGGGGCGGTACCCAGCGGGGGCGGCCGGGGGCGGCAGCCTAGACCACCCCATCCAATCTATGCCCGGCGCCGTCGATTGCACTCTGTCATCTATCAACGCCCTCTGCGGGCAGCAACCGACAGGGGCGGCGGCACGCGTGCCCACCCCCGCGCCGCCCACGCAACAATGCTCGCCGCAAGGGATGCTGCCACCGCCCCCGCAGCAACAGCATCTGCCGCCTCCGCCGCAGCCAGATCCGTTTTATTGTTCGCCGTTCGGGAATCCGTATTACAGGTATGGGGTTATGAAGAGTCTTACACTACAGTCTCTTACTTTATAAGGCACTAGGAAATACTCTACGTTTGTGTTCACGTCAATTTTATATTCATTCCGTCCCAAACAGAAAAATTACGAAGCATCTTTAAAAACGATCTGCATGTACTCGCGAAGCCTCGGTAGCGTTTCGAAGACACTCGCCGTAAATTAAAATAATATGCACGAATCCGATATTATAAGAGTGTGCCATTTCTTAGAACCGATGTGTAAAGGTTTCGTTTACAAACGCGGCCAGCACCTCGATCCGCGTCGTACGTTCCGGCTCTGTAACCAACCGTATACATCGTTGTTTCGTGCTTATTAGGAGTCATCAGTACGCTATATGTATAGTCGTTGGAACAAGCAAAAAAACCGTCGGCTAAAGCTTTTTTGCCGATAACTGATTTTTATTCAAATACCTTGAAAGTTGGGAGTACAACTACGTTTGTGTTCACGTCAATTTTATATTCATTCCGTCCCAAACAAAAAAATCACGTAGCATGTTTAAAAACGGTCTGCATGTATTCGCGAAGCCTCGGTAGCGTTTCGAGGACACTCGCCGTAAATTAAAATAATATGCACGAATCCGATATTATAAGAGTGTGACATTTTTTTAGAACCGACGTGTAAAGGTTTCGTTTACAAACGCGGCCAACGCGTGGATCCGCGTCGTACGTGTTCACGTTTGAGCTGGTCGAGGTGCAGGACCGGATTAGGTTTTTTAGGTTCGATTTTGAAGAACGAATTTTTTTGTCTGTGTCGTCTACTTTCACAACATTTTCACGCCAGATCCGTTTTATTGTTCGCCGTTCGGGAATCCGTATTACAGGTATGGGGTTATGAAGAGTCTTACACTACAGTCTCTTACTTTATAAGGCACTAGGAAATACTCATTCATCTGCCGAAGTGACGCTGCTTGCTTTCCGGCTCTGTAACCAACCGTATACATCGTTGTTTCGTGCTTATTAGGAATCATCAGTACGCTATATGTATAGTCGTTGGAACAAGCAAAAAACCCTCGGTTAAAGCTTTTTGCCGATAACTGATTTTTATTTAAATACCTTGAAAGTTGGGAGTACAACTACGTTTGTGTTCACGTCAATTTTATATTCATTCCGTCCCAAACAGAAAAATCACGAAGCATCTTTAAAAACGATCTGCATGTACTCGCGAAGCCTCGGTAGCGTTTCGAAGACACTCGCCATAAATTAAAATAATATGCACGAATCCGATATTTAAGAGTGTGCATATTTTTCAGAACCGATGTGTAAAGGTTTCGTTTACAAACGCGACCAGCGCCTGGATCCGCGTCGTACGTGTTCACGTTTGAGCTGGTCGATGTGCAGGATCGGATTAGGTTTTTTAGGTTCGATTTTGAAGAACGAATTTTTTTGTCTGAGTCGTCTACTTTCACAACATTTTCACGCCAGATCCGTTTTATTGTTCGCCGTTCGGGAATCCTTCTTACAGGTATGGGGTTATGAAGAGTCTTACACTGTAGCCTCTTACTTTATAAGGCACTAGGACATACTCAGTCATCTGGCGAAGTGACGCTGCTTGCTTTCCGGCTCTGTAACCAACCGTATACATCGTTGTTTCGTGCTTATTAGGAATCATCAGTACGCTATATTTATAGTCGTTGGAACAAGCTTTTTTGCCGATAACTGATTTTTATTTAAATACCTTGAAAGTTGGGATTACAACTACGTTTGTGTTCACGTCACTTTTATACTCATTCCGTTCCAAACAAAAAAAATTACGAAGCATCTTTAAAAACGATCTGCATGTACTCGCGAAGCCTCGGTAGCGTTTCGAAGACACTCGCCGTACATTAAAATAAAATGCACAAATCCGATATTATAAGAGTGTGTACGTGTTCACGTTTGAGCTGGTCGAGGTGCAGGATCGGTTTAGGGTTTTTAGAATCGATTTTGAAGAACAAACTCTCATTTAGACATGTCGCATAACTTCCGTTTTTCTCTTCTCTTCAGACAATTATATGAATTATCATAAAAGTCAATTTTTCGAGTTTCCGTTTTTGTCTGTGACGCCTACTTTCATACTAAAAAATCCAGTTAAACTAGTCGGTAATTCCTCAAAACTAGACGAGAAAAATGTACGCTAAATTCAACCCAGAAAAATGTATTGCTTTAACTCTTTTTAAGCAGTACGACAGAAAATGTAGAGAAATGTCGCGTGATTGTCACCCCATGACATTTTTCGGCCTGTTCGTGTCATAACTAGTCTAAAGTCTAAACATTTCGTCCCAAACAAAAAGAAATCACGAAGGTTCTTTGAAAACGATCTGCATGCACTCGCGAAGCCTCGGTAGCGTTTTGAAGGCCCTCACCGTAAATTAAAATAATACGGCCAACTCCGATATTGCTGTAAATTGAGTTTCTAATTATACGTAATTGCTAGTGTTTTAAAATAACCATCGTAATCATATGTTGGTGTAAACTGGATACGCAATTTTCATATAGTGTTCTTTACAGATCCCTGCCGGTCCCCAGGCGGCACACCCCCTACTTCGGCCAGCCGGATTATCGGATATACGAGCTGAACAAAAGGTTGCAGCAAAGGACGGAGGTAGTATGTGTTATTTTTCTATTCTACTATTCTATCTAGATTCTAACCTTATAATTTCAATTGTGGTGTAAGTTTGTAGAGAAGATGACAGAATTCAACACGGAAAACTTTGCATTTGTGAGAAAATATAAAACTCGATTTTTTTCATCACATAAATCAAGGGGTTTGAACAACAATTAAAAATTATCGAATTGTTATTACTGAAATTACGGAGATAAATTGTCGGGAATATTGTGAAAGAATTTCAGTTATGCAAATTGCAAATATAATGTATAATTATGCAAAAAAAATATAATGATATTGATACGATGAATTTGTTACATTTCTTCTAGCGTAAAACAAATCCTAGCAGTAGCAATATTTCTTTTCAAAATTATAATTGTTAAATGATTGACAAATAAAATTATTTATATTTTGTATTGTTTACATTAGGAACGAAACAAAGCGAAATTTTGCTGGCTATTTGATAAGTATTTATCTGTAGAATCTTTTCTAATATTTTTTATTTTTATTTTTTCAGGATAGCGATAACTTATGGTGGGACGCGTTTGCTACGGAATTTTTCGAAGACGATGCGTCCCTGACGTTAGCATTTTGTTTAGAAGATGGTCCCAAACGATACAGTAAGTTAAATTGCATTTACCAACTTTCTAGATATAACTATAAAAAAAAACATATTTTCGCTATAATAGGAATTTATAGAAGTTTCAGTTGATTTCACTTATCTTTGCGTAAAGGAAATCGAAATTATGAAATAAAGGTTTATGCCCGATCGCTAAAAACTTAGCTCTTCACGGGATCCGGACGGCTCCGCGGCGAAATCAGTGTTGCCAGATCTACCGATTTTTCGGCAAATCTGGTGAAATATGTTTCAAGTTCTTAATTAGTATAATTCAACGAAAAACAAGAATAGACATTTCGATTTCGCACAACCTTGCGCTCTTCAATTTTCAAAAGCGAATGAAGCTCAAGCAAGGTGCGACTCTTTTCAATTTTGAGTCACCGGGAGATTTTTTCTTTTTCGTTTAATGTCTGCTGAAGTCTACCAAAAAAAATCATTCAAATTTACCGAAAATCGACGAGAGACCTGGAGGTTGTCACTACCAATTTACGTAATAAGGCCTTCGGTATAAAGAAAGACCTATACTTGGCAACACTGGGCGAAAAGTTGATGACTCGCAAAACTGGGCGAAAAGTACTGATTGAAATTTTCTTTTGCAGCCATTGGAAGGACGTTAATTCCAAGGTACTTTAGGAGTATATTTGAGGGAGGAGTGCTAGAACTGTATTATAATATGAAGCACCCAAAGGAATCCTTCCACAACACTAGTATTACGCTAGACTGTGATCAGTGCACTATGGTAACACACCATGGTAAACCTTTTTTTACCAAGGTAAGTCACATATACTTCCATATGCTACCTAACTGTTTTCTCAACCCTAACTATGTATTTACGTCTTTATGACCATGCCATAGTTTTAGACAATTATTTTGCTTAGAAAAACACATGTTAAGAATTCCCTTTTTCATCGTTGAGAAATTCCGAGGTACGAAATCGTAAAGATAATTATCGGTGACGATGATATTCCTTTGGAAGGTGAATGTGATGTTTTTATTATTTTTAAAGGAAATACTGTGATCCCACTTGGTAACGTGGCAGTGACGATGGACATTGTATATGAACTAGAGATGGTCGATACCGTTACTTTTTATTATCTCAGATATCTGAACCGTGACTTTTTGATATCAGTGATTTAATACGTAACGTAACTAGAGATGGGAGATATCGTTATTGTTGATAAAGTGTGATATCTGATACCATCATTGTTTAGTGATTTTAAGCGTAACGTGATCAGAAATAAATGGCCAATATCGTTATCATCAAATATCTGTGACATCTGATACCGATACTTTTTGATATCAATGATTTAAAGAGTAACGTGATTAGAGACGGTAAATATCATTATTTTTGAAAATATGATATCCGATAGCTTTATTTATTGATATCAGTGATTTAATGTATAACTTGATTAGAGATGCCCGATAACGTTATTTAAAGCGTAACGTAATTAGAGATGGAATTTACGTTTTTTTTTGAATATCTATATGTGATATACCATTCCCTTTTTGATATCAATAATTCAAAGCGAAACGTGATTAGAGATGGCCGTATCGTAATCTTTGAATATGTGTGATACCGTTACTTTTTGATATCAGTGATTTAAAGCGTAACGTGACTAGAGATGGCCGGTATACTTATTTTTGAGTATCTATGATATCTGATTCCGTTATTTTTTCATATCAGTGATTTAAAGCATGACGTGATTAGAGATGGTAGAGACGGTAGATATCGATATTTTTGAATATATGATATCTGATAGTTTCATCTTTTGATATCAGTGATTTAATGCGTAATCTTTGAACATATATCTGTGATATTTGTTACCATTACTTTTTTATATCAATGATTTAAAGGATAACGTGATTAGAAATGACCGATATCGTTATCTTTGAATGTCTGTGAAACCGTTACTTCTTGATATCAGTGATTTAAGGCGTAACGTAAGTAGAGGTGGAACATTGTTATTTTGGAACATATGTGACATCTGAAACCGTTCCTTTTTGATATCGGTGATTTAAAGCGTAACGTGATTAGAGATGACCGATATCGTTATCTTTGAATACCTATGATAATGATACCATCACTTTTTTATATCAGTGAAACCGTTACTTTTTAATATCAGTGATTTAAGGCGTAACGTGATTAGAGATGACCGATATCGTTATCTTTGAATATCGTCGATATTTGGTACCATCACTTTTTGATATCAGTGATTTAAATCGTAACGTGATTACAGATGGCCAATATCGTTATCTTTGAATATTGGTAAACCGTTACTTTTTAATAGCAATGATTTAAAGCGTAACCTGACTAGAGATGGCCAATATTATTATCTTTGAATATCTGTGATATGACACCATACTTTTTTATATCAGTGATTTAAATCGTAACGTGATTAGAGATGATCAGTATCGTTATCTTTGAATATCTGTGAAACCGTTACGTTTTAATAGCAGTGATTTAAAGCGTAACCTGACTAGAGATGGCCAATATTATTATCTTTGAATATCTGTGATATGACACCATACTTTTTTATATCAGTGATTTAAAACGTAACGTGATTAGAGATGATCAGTATCGTTATCTTTAAATATCTGTGAAACCGTTACTTTTTGATATCAATGATTTAAGGCGTAATGTGATTAGAGATGGTAGATATCGTTATTTTTGAGTATCTATGATATCTGATTCCGTTCTTTTTTAATATCAATGATTTAAAGGATAACGTGATTAGAAAAGACCGATATCGTTATCTTTGAATGTCTGCGAAACCGTTACTTTTTGATATCAGTGGTTTAAGGCGTAACGTAATTAGAGGTGGGACATTGTTATTTTGGAACATATGTGACATCTGATACCGTTCCTTTTTGATATCAGTGATTTAAAGCGTAACGTGATGACCGATATCGTTATCTTTGAATATCTGTGTTAATGATACCATAACTTTTTTATATGAGTGAAACCGTTACTTTTTAATATCAGTGATTTAAGGCGTACCGTAATTAGAGATGACCGATATCGTTATCTTTGAATATCGTCGACATTTGATACCATCACTTTTTGATATCAGTGATTTAAATTGTAACGTGATTACAAATGGCCAATATCGTTATCTTTGAATATTTGTAAACCGTTACTTTTTAATAGCAGTGATTTAAAGCGTAACCTAACTAGAGATGGCCAATATTATTATCTTTGAATATCTGTGATTTGACGCCATACTTTTTTATATCAGTGATTTAAAGCGTAACGTGATTAGAGATGATCAGTATCGTTATCTTTGAATATCTGTGATAATGATACCATCACTTTTTTATATCAGTGAAACCGTTACTTTTTAATATCAGTGAAACCGTTACTTTTTAATATCAGTGATTTAAGGCGTAACGTGATTAGAGATGACCGATATCGTTATCTTTGAATATCGTCGATATTTGATACCATCACTTTTTGATATCAGTGATTTAAATCGTAACGTGATTACAGATGGCCAATATCTTTATCTTTGAATATTTGTAAAGCGTTACTTTTTAATAGCAGTGATTTAAAGCGTAACGTGACTAGAGATGGCCAATATTATTATCTTTGAATATCTGTGAAACCGTTACTTTTTTATATCAGTGATTTAAGGCGTAATGTGATTAGAGATGGTCGATATCGTTTTTTTTTAGTATCTATGATATCTGATTCCGTTCTTTTTTAATATCAATGATTTAAAGGATAACGTGATTAGAAAAGACCGATATCGTTATCTTTGAATGACTGCGAAACCGTTACTTTTGATATCAGTGGTTTAAGGCGTAACGTAATTAGAGGTGGAACATTGTTATTTTGGAACATATGTGACATCTGATACCGTTTCTTTTTGATATCAGTGCTTTAAAGCGTAACGTGATTAGAGATGACCGATATCGTTATCTTTGGATATCTGTGATAATGATACATCACTTTTTTATATCAGTGAAACCGTTACTTTTTAATCTCAGTGGTTTAAGGCGTAACGTGATTAGAGATGACCGATATCGTTATCTTTGAATGTCGTCGATATTTGATACCATCATTTTTTGATATCAGTGATTTAAATCGTAACGTGATTACATATGGCCAATATCGTTATCTTTGAATATTTGTGAACAGTTACTTTTTAATATCAGTGTTTTAAAGCGTAACGTAACTAGAGATGGCCAATATTATTATCTTTGAATATCTGTGATATCTGACACCATACTTTTTTATATCAGTGATTTAAAACGTAACGTGATTAGAGATGATCAGTATCGTTATCTTTGAATATCTGTGAAACCGTTACTTTTTGATATCAGTGATTTAAGGCGTAATGTGATTAGAGATGGTCGATATCGTTATTTTTGAGTATCTAGGATATCTGATTCCGTTCTTTTTTAATATCAATGATTTAAAGGATAACGTGATTAGAAAAGACTGATATCGTTATCTTTGAATGTCTGCGAAACCGTTACTTTTTGATATCAGTGGTTTAAGGCGTAACGTAATTAGAGGTGGAACATTGTTATTTTGGAACATATGTGACATCTGATACCGTTCCTTTTTGATATCAGTGATTTAAAGCGTAACGTGATTAGAGATGACCGATATCGTTATCTTTGAACATCTGTGATTATGATACCATCAATTTTTTATATCAGTGAAACCGTTACTTTTTAATATCAGTGATTTAAGGCGTAACGTGATTAGAGATGACCGATATCGTTGTCTTTGAATATCGTCGATATTTGGTACCATCACTTTTTGATATCAGTGATTTAAATCGTAACGTGACTAGAGATGGCCAATATTATTATCTTTGAATATCTGTGATATCTGACACCATACTTTTTTATATCGGTGATTTAAAGCGTAACGTGATTAGAGATAGCCGATATCGTTATCTTTGAATATCTGTGATACTGTTTCTTTTTGATATCAGTGATTTAAGGAGTAACGTAATTAGAGATGGAAGATATTGTTAAGTTTGAATATCTGTGATATCCGATACCGTTCCTTTTTGATACCAGTGATTCAACGCGTAACGTGACTAGAGATGGCCAATATCGTTATCTTTGAATATCAGTGACATCTTATGTTGTTAGTTTTTGATATCAGTGGTTTAAATCAGTATCGTGATCACGACTTTAGAATAAGGATGAGATTATTAGAATTCTTATATCCTGAGCCAATAATGCAATAACATCGCCTATAACGCACGAAATAAAAGTCTTGTGTTTTTTTTAACTTGCATCTTTTGTAGTATGTGGTGATGTACAGAAAATGAAATTTTTCTATCGTACAATCGTATACCCACAGTTTTTCATTGTATTTGATGGTAATCTAACGGATATTCGCGCGTTCTGATACTAAATCACCGTTGATGAAATATCTGCCACCTCTAATGTAAACATAAGAGTTGCTGGTATTTTAGCTGATCAATGATGAAACTCAGTACAAACAGCGCTCTGCCTTTTTGTTTGTTAAACTTTATGCATCTATTCCTTATAACTGTTAAGCAATAAAGGTTATTTTTATTGTACTTTATAGGCGCTACTAACCAGGATGTTTATTATATTTCGTGTTTAATTGTTTGTTTTAGGTGTGTACAGAAGGGCGCCTAATTTTAGAATTTACGTTTGACGATTTAATGAGGATAAAGTCGTGGCATTTTGCCGTTAGGTCGCATCGGGAATTGATCCCGAGGAATGTTATGCTCTCCCAGCAGGATCCGGGTATGTTAGACCAATTGTCCAAAAATATCACTAGGCAAGGCATCACGAACTCTACTCTCAACTATTTAAGGGTAAGTGCAACTTGAATCCAACATTTATCTTAAACGTTCTTTTGGACTTATAAAACAAAATTGAGTGAAACAAATGTGGCTTTGTTTCAACAAATTGTGGAACTAGTTTTATTGCGCATGTCTCATCTGGAAGCCCGGCAATTCAATACGTATAACTTTGTTTCTTCTTCAAACGATTTTATATTGCGTTTTATTTTCAGCTATGTGTGATACTAGAACCAATGCAAGAGCTGATGTCGAGGCACAAGGCTTACGCGTTAAGTCCGCGGGACTGTTTGAAGACGACGTTGTTCCAGAAGTGGCAGAGGATGGTTGCCCCGCCGGGTAAGAGAGGTACCTTGTTTGTTTGCACTATAGGATTATTCGTTTTTGCTCTACCAACACCAATGAAAGATACAGATGAAAGTTCACGCGAAAATTGCCCCCGTATCTTAAGCAAAGCTTCGGTCGGAATCCCTTGCCGATAGTTCACGTCTTTGGGCACATAACCAGTTATCCAATGGTGACCTTGGATTTGACCTTAATCGTGACCTTCAAGGTCACTCCGATTTTCTTGAATAGGATCTCCCATTTTTGAACCCGTAAAGGGAAAGAGCGGAAAATGTTACGTTCAAATATGGTATTGACCTTTCTTAGATTTTGACTCTAGGTCATGGTCAAGGTCAAACCTAGGTACGGTGAAATAACTTGAATGCTTATTGTATAGGGAAACTACGGTGATATTAATTTCATGATTTTTCCCCGGATTTTATGGCGACCTTGGATCTGACCTTGGACATGACACACAAGGTCATTTGAAGATCACGTCGATTTTTTAAATGGAACCGCTCATATTCGAACCCGTAAATGGAAAGAACACAACATTTTACGTCCAAATATTAAATTTTGACCTTAGGAGGTCATGGTCAAGGTCAAAACCAAGTGCGGTGAAATAACTTGAAATCCTGTAGACGTATAGAGAAACTACCGAGACATCGTTTTCATGATTTTTCCCGGATATTAAACGGTGACCTTGGCCATGACATACAAGGTCATTTGAAGGTCAAGCCATTTTTTTATATGAACCTACCGTTTTTGACCCCGTAAATCGAAAGAACAGAAAATCTTACCTTCAGATATGTCTCAGATGTCTTGACCATTCTTAAATGTTGACCTTAGGAAGTCATGGTCAAGGTCAAACCCAGGTACTGTGAAATAACTTGAAAGCCAGTAGTATAGGTAAACTACCGGGATACTAATTTCATGATTTTTTCCCGGATTTTTAATGGCGACCTTGGACATGACATACAAGGTCATTTGAAGGTCACGTCGATTTTTTAAATGAATCCTCCCATATTCGACCTAGTAAATGGAAGTAGGAAAATTTAACGTACAAATATTATGAAATTTTGACCTTGGAGGACATGGTCAAGGTCAAACCCAGGTACGGTGAAATAACTTGATAGTCTGTAGTCGCTTAGGGAGGCTACCCATACATTGTTTTCATGACTTTTCCTCGGATTTTTAATGCCGACCTTGGATCTGACCTTGGTCATGACATACAAGCTCATCTGAAGGTCAAGCCGAGTTTTTAAATGGAATCCCCTATTTTTTACTCCGTAAATGGAAAGAGCCGAAAATTTTACATTCAAGCATGGTCTTGATCATTCTTAAATTTTGACCTTAGGAGGTCGTGGTCAAGGACAAACCCAGGTACAGCGAAATAACTTGAAAGCCAGTGTTCGTATAGGGAAACTACCCAAACGTTAATTTAATGATTTTTTCCAGGATTTTTATTTGCGACCTTGGATCTGACCTTGTACATGTCATACAAGGTCATTTGAAGTTCTTGTCGAATTTTTTTATATGAACCCTTCATTTTTGAACCCGTTAGTGGCAAAAGCGGAAAATATAACGTTCAAATACGATCTTTACTATCATTAAATTGACCGTGTAGGAGGTCAAGGTTTTACACAGGAACAGTGAAATAACTTGAAAGCCAGCAGTCGTATAGAGAAACTACCGAGACATTGTTAAATTTTACATCCAAACATGGTTTTGATTATTCTGAAATTTTGACCTTGGGAGGTCGTGGTCAAGGACAAACCCAGGTACGGTGAAATAACTTGAAAGCCAGTATTCGTATAGGGAAACTACCCAAACGTTAATTTAATGATTTTTTCCAGGATTTTTATTTGCGACCTTGGATCTGACCTTGTTCATGTCATACAAGGTCATTTGAAGTTTTTGTCGAATTTTTTGATATGAACCTTTCATTTTGAACCCGTTAGTGGAAAGAGCGGAAAATATAACGTTCAAATACGATCTTTACTATCATTAAATTGACCGTAGGAGGTCAAGGTTTTACCCAGGAACAGTGAAATAACTTGAAAGTCAGCAGTCGTATAGAGAAACTACCGAGACATTGTTTTTGTGATTTTCCCCGGATATTCAACGGTGACCTTGGATCTGACCTTGGCCATTACCTTCAAGGTCATGAAGATCAAAGCTTTTTTAATAAGATCCTATTCTTTTGACCGCGGAAATTGAGAAAGAGGAAAATTTTATGATGAATACGTCGTTGGCCAGTTTTGGAATTTGACCTTAGACTTGACCGGCAAGGTCAAACACAAGTTTAGCCTAATTTCTTGATAATTAAGAAAAATGTGTAATCCCCAGAAACACTGACGTTTTGGATTGTTCCTGGCTACAAAAATCGACTTGTCATTGACATGACCTTGGAGGTCATTATGGTTAAAAGGTCAGATCCAGGGTCACCATTGGATATCTCGTACGGTGAAATAACTTGAAAGCCAGTATTCGTATAGGGAAACTACCCAAACGTTAATTTAATGATTTCTTCCAGGATTTTTATTTGCGACCTTGGATCTGACCTTGTTCATGTCATACAAGGTCATTTGAATGTCTTGTCGATTTTTTTGTATGAACCCTTCATTTTTGAAGCCGTTATCGGGATTTTTCCCCGGATATTTAACGGTGACCTTGGATCTGACCTTCGCCATTACCTTCAAGGTCATTTGAAGATCAAAGCTTTTTTAGTAAGATCCTATTCTTTCACCGCGGAAATGGAGAAAAAGGAAAATTTTATGATGAATGCGTCGGTGGAAAGTTTTGGAATTTTACCTTAGACTTGACCTCCAAGGTCAAACACAAGTTTAGCCTAATTTCTTGATAATTAAGAAAAATGTGTAATACCCAGAAACACTGACTTTCTGGATTGTTCCTGGCTACAGAAATCGACTTGACATTGACATGACCTTGACACTGAGTATATTTATTTTTGTATGGCTTAAGTGGAGGACTAGCTTAACCTACTTCGCCCAAATAAAAAGACGTTTATTATCATCAACATGAATTTTCTAACCTAACTTTTTCCTCCCCGCTTAATACACGCACGGCATCGACGGTATCACGGAGTGTACAGCAAAAACGAAAAGAATCCTGACAACCCCGAGATTTTGCACGTGTAGCTTACTTAGCATGACGCATATTTTTTTTCGTACGTACGCATTCACTGTGATTTTCTTGTTTGTGGCTATATAGAATCTCAGCGGCCCGCAAACAAGCGACGGAAACGCAAAGGATCGAATTCGGGTGGGGCGGCTAACAACGCGACGCCCGCCCCCAACAAGAAGAGATCGCCGGGACCTAACTTCTCACTGGCATCACAGGTAAGCAATCTTTCAACGGTAATACGAGGGTTGTTTCAAAAATAAGGTTCGCACATTTTTCAGGCACAAAGAATTTTTTATTCGAAAAAACAAATGTACAATGTTTTCTACGCATTTTTCCCTAAGACGATTTTGGCTTGACCGTCTCTGCCTTTTCAGAAGCGTCGGGAATTTCAGACGCCTGTCGGGCGTCAAGCCGGGACTGAGCATCGCAAATAGGCGTTTCTTGTTGGGATCTGTGGTGGGGGAGCCGATCAACACGACGCTGTTGCCAGATTTCGGCTAGCCTCACGCGTAGCAAAGTTACAGCGGCGGGAATTTTATTTTTGAAACAACCCTCGTATAAGACAATAACTAGATATACAGGGTTACATTTCTGACTGATTTCATTGTGAAACACCCTACCTCAAACCTAGTCGTTTTCGAGATATTTGAATTTTATTTTTTTATATAAAAATATTCGTTTTTCGGCGATTGAAGTATATATTTTGAAATATGTGGTTTATTAATATTTTTTAATTTTTACATGTAGAATAAGATGCTGTATGACCTCAATAACAAAAATTGTACGTAAGTTAACTAAATAGGAAGTTAAAAAAGTTAGTACAAATTTAAAGAGTTTAATTTTCTTTACAGGATATCTCAAAAAAAAATATGACACCTGCTTTGCAGATGTGACTGAAAATATCTACGTTTTATCAGCTATCCAACGAGGTATAACAATCTAGGGTTTTATTTAAACTCGTAGGAAACACTTAGTTTCTTAAAATAATGGCACTTGTTTAATCTAATTTATTCTTTGACCTAATGACTAAAAAAAAAACAATGACATTTATTTAACTTTTATTTTCGAATAAAATAGCTCTAAATTTCATGTTCAACATGTCTGCCTCTGTTTTGCACACATTTTTTTACTACTACCTATTTAGTTACTTTAGGTACAATTTTGGTTATTGATATCATAAAGCATCTCATTCTACATGTAAAAATTAAATAATAATAGCAGTCACATATTTCAAAATATCTACTTCAATAGCCGAAAAATCGGGCATTTTTATAAAGAAAAATTAAAACTCGAATACCTCGAAAACGGTTAGATTTGGGGTAGTATGTTTCATAGTGAATAATGTAAAGATGAAAAATGCGCGATCGGTGAAATTCATACCCATAACCTCTCGTGTTCTAGGTGGCCGCTTTAGACTTGTGATTTTCCTTTACAGAGCGTTAGCATGTGCGACAATAAGCAAATTTACTTAGTGATACACAAAAAATTAAAATCACATACAGGATGTCCCAGAAGTCGACGACCAGCCGGAAACGGGAGATAGGATAAAGTCATCATAAAAGTTATCAGGAACATATAAAAAAGTCGTGTACTTTTCGAATTATAGGCCTCAAGATTTTTTTATATTTTTCTGATAACTATTGTGACTTGGCCTACCCGCCGTTTCCGGCTTGACGTGGCCTTCTGGGACACCCTGCATATATATATATATATATATATATATATATAGGTGAAAAATTAAAGCTTCCGCCTTTTGTTGGGTACTTCGACAAAATTTAAGCAAAGAGGACTCTTTATACTTTTTTTAATTCTCTCTAGCTTTCAATGGACTTTGCCATCATCATCAGGAGCTGCAATTACAATGATAACAGTAGCAACAAAAGTGTAAAATGAATTTAAATTGAATCAACTTACAGTAGTATGTGAGGATGTTGCTAATTGTTGTTTTCGTATAGGATGAGGGAAACGTCCAGTAACATGGTGAGAGCTGGATACATGGTACAATGGTTAAAATTATATAAAATATGACAAGACAAGTTAAAGACAGATTAAAAATTATTTAGAAAACATTAGAGCATTACGTCGTGAAGCCACTTGATGATTGCACAAAATGGTGGTCATGGTGGCTTCACGACGTAATGCTCTAATGTTTTCTAAATAATCTTTAATCTGTCTTTAACTTGTCTTGTCATATTTTATATAATTTTAACCATTGTACCTTGTATCCAGCTCTCACCATGTTACTGGACGTCATCCTATACGAAAACAACAATTAGCAACATCCTCACATACTACTGCAAGTTGATTCAATTTAAATTCATTTTACACTTTTGTTGCTACTGTTATCATTGTAATTGCAGCTCCTGATGATGATGGCAAAGTCCATTGAAAGCTAGAGAGAATTACAAAAAGTATAAAGAGTCCTATTTGCTTAAATTTTGTCGAAGTACCCAACAAAAGGCGGAAGCTTTAATTTTTCACCTAACTGGTTTAGACGACAATGACCACGTCTCAAGTTATATATATATAATCTTTGATTCAACTTTTTTCAATTATTTCACCATTTTTTCTGAGATGTATTTCCCTATTAGCACACATTTTTAGAAGCATTCAATTTTAATTTATTCACTTTGAACCAGTGTCTATATTTTCATCTAATATGTAACATTTATCAATGTATCAATTTTTACAATAATCCAAAAGATGTATCATAAATTGTCATTAATGTATAAAATAAATAGTAGTGGGCCCAGTTTACTACCTTGTGGTATACCGAAATATTTTTTTGATCTGGATAATGCAGATCCAATTTTGGATTTTGACCACTGACAACCAAGTAGCTTTGTAGAATTTTGAACAAAAAATTGCCCTTTTGAAGTCCAAAAACACTGTCACTGTCTGTTTCCTATTGTCAATACATCTCATCCAGCCCTCTAAAACCATTCGCATTGCCGTTTCGCAACGCTTTTCCGACATCCTTCGGAGCATCTATTGACGCCATTTTTTTTTTCGTTGTAGGAGGTGATGGCCGTCGGCGAACCGACGCTAATGGGTGCCGAATTCGGGGACGAAGACGAGCGTCTGATCGCCCGATTGGAAAACGCCCTGTACGAAACGACGACGAACAATGGCCGCGGCGGCTCCCCGATGACAGCTGACAGCATGTCCAAGGGCCGGTCTTCGTGTGGCCCGCCCGAGGAACGAGCGTGATCAGTCTTCGTCGCCGAAATCGACGCCCATTAGCCTCGGTTCCGACGCCAGCGCCATCTCGCGTCGCACTAGAGAAACACGATCCGTCGGGAGGATCTTGGTATGAACTGTCACGATACTAGTTATGTTCCTTGCGTCACATTTCCGACGGTTTGACAAGCCGGGGTGGCGGCCAAGAAAAATAAATTAAAGATCAACATTTCGTCTTTTCAAAAAAAAATGTGGGAATCCTATTTTTGAAATAACCCTCGTATTTGCCATCGTTGTCTCTCCAGCAAACAATATTAAGTTATTCGTTGTTTACAATTTGGTAAATCGTAGGGATCATTTTTCGCGATGTTCACCACCTCTTTGTGGACAAGAAACACTCTTCTTTGTCCAAGGCGCAACACATAGTCTAGGGGTGGATTTCACCGGGATTGACAAATTAACAGTCCGTTATTCCGTTAACAAATTTCAGCAACCAATAGCTACGAAATGTTGAAAACAAAATACTGTCAAAGCTTATTGAATATTAAGGAATTACATATGATTTTGTCAAAATTTAAAAAAGAGTTCGATTTTTGAATAAAATTCATATTTTTATTTAATATTGTCGATTGTTTATTCATGTTTATATTATTTTCTTCAATTGATATGCGATTTTAATGATTCTACATCACCTACCGTGTGTTCTTTTCCTTTAAACCTCGGGTTATACATCTTGACAGTAGGGATGTTCGATACGATCCTATATTTAGAAGTATCGATACTTTCGCTTCCCATACCCGATATTTTTGATCGATATTTTTATATATGACACTTGGGTATATCGATACATTTCACAAATGTCGTCATCTTTCCATCCGGACTGTGTCAGAAAGAGTGACTAACCTCAGATTACTCGTCATCTTTGTTTCCTTCCTTGGACATGACACACAAGGTCATTTGAAGATCGCGTCGATTTTTTAAATGGAACCGCCCATATTCGAACCGGTAAATGAAAAGAACACAACATTTTACGTCCAAATATTAAATTTTGACCTCAGGAGGTCATGGTCAAGGTCAAAACCAGGTGCGGTGAAATAACTTGAAAGCCTGTAGACGTATAAAGAAACTACCGAGACATCGTTTTCATGATTTTTCCCGGATATTAAACGGTGACCTTGGCCATGACATACAAGGTCATTTGAAGGTCAAGCCATTTTTTATATGAACCTACCGTTTTTGACCCCGTAAATCGAAAGAACAGAAAATCTTACCGTCAGATATGGTCTTGACCATTCTTAAATTTTGACCTTAGAAGGTCATGGTCAAGGTCAAACCCAGGTACGGTGAAATAACTTGAAAGCCTGTAGTCGCTTAGTGAGGCTACACATACATTGTTTTCATGACTTTTCCTCGGATTTTTAATACTGACCTTGGATATGACCTTGGTCACGACATACAAGCTCATCTGAAGGTCAGGCCGATTTTTTTTAAATGGAACCCCTCATTTTTGACTTCGTAAATGGAAAGAGCCGAAAATTTTACATTCAAACATGGTCTTGATCATTCTGAAATTTTGACCTTAGGAGGTCGTGGTAAAGGACAAACCCAGATACGGTGAAATAACTTGAAAGCCAGTATTCGTATAGGGAAACTACCCAAACGTTAATTTAATGATTTTTTCCAGGATTTTTATTTGCGACATTGGATCTGACCTTGTACATGTCATACAAGGTCATTTGAAGTTTTTGTCGCATTTTTTTATATGAACCCTTCATTTTTGAACCCGTTAGTGGAAAGAGCGGAAAATATAACGTTCAAATACGATCTTTACTATCATAAATTGACCTTAGGAGGTCAAGGTTTTACCCAGGAACAGTGAAACAACTTGAAAGTCACCAGTCGTATAGAGAAACTACCGAGACATTGTTATCGTGATTTTTCCCCGGATTTTCAACGGTGACCTTGGATCTGACCTTGGCCATTACCTTCAAGGTCATTTGAAGATCAACGTTTTTTTTAGTCCTCATCCCTTACTCCGCTTGCCCTGAATTGATTTTTGTGCGTACACAAGGTACAGACTGGTCGATTACCGTCATACCTCATCACCGGACAAGCAATAAAGAAACCGAAACCTGTCTGTTTTCAAAATAAATATTTAATTAAAATGAGAGGTGATTTCAGGCGTAAAACAGAAAAATATTCACAATCCCATAAGCAAGAATCGAAAAAAAAGTTTCCAATACCGATTCCGTTTTTCTTTGCCGGTTCGGCAACACTGCAGATGTGCAGATAACCTTGGATCTGACCTTGGACATGACACACAAGTTCATTTGAAGATCACGTCGATTTTTTAAATGGAACCGCCCATATTCGAACCGGTAAATGAAAAGAACACATTTTACGTCCAAATATTAAATTTTGACCTTAGGAGGTCATGGTCAAGGTCAAAACTAAGTGCGGTGAAATAACTTGAAAGCCTGTAGACGTATAGAGAAACTACCAAGACATCGTTTTCGAGATTTTTCCCGGAATTTAAACGGTGACCTTGGCCATGACATACAAGGTCATTTGAAGGTCAAGCCATTTTTTTATATGAACCTACCGTTTTTGACCCCGTAAATCGAAGGAACAGAAAATCTTACCTTCAGATATGGTCTTGACCATTCTTAAATTTTGACCTTAGAAGGTCATGGTCAAGGTCAAACCCAGGTACGGTGAAATAACTTGAAAGTCTGTAGTCGCTTAGTGAGGCTACACATACATTGTTTTCATGACTTTTCTTCGGATTTTTAATGCTGACCTTGGATATGACCTTGGCCATGACATACAAGCTCATCTGAAGGTCAGGCCGATTTTTTTTAAATGGAACCCCTCATTTTTGACTTCGTAAATGGAAAGAGCCGAAAATTTTACATTCAAACATGGTCTTGATCATTCTGAAATTTTGACCTTAGGAGGTCGTGGTAAAGGACAAACCCAGGTACGGTGAAATAACTTGAAAGCCAGTATTCGTATAGGGAAACTACCCAAACGTTAATTTAATGATTTTTTCCAGGATTTTTATTTGCGACATTGGATCTGACCTTGTACATGTCATACAAGGTCATTTGAAGTTTTTGTCGAATTTTTTGATATGAACCCTTCATTTTTGAACCCGTTAGTGGAAAGAGCGGAAAATATAACGTTCAAATACGATCTTTACTATCATAAATTGACCTTAGGAGGTCAAGGTTTTACCCAGGAACAGTGAAACAACTTGAAAGTCAGCAGTCGTATAGAGAAACTACCGAGACATTGTTATCGTGATTTTTCCCCGGATATTCAACGGTGACCTTGGATCTGACCTTGGCCATTACCTTCAAGGTCATTTGAAGATAAAAGTTTTTTATTGTCCTCATCCCGTACTCCGCTTGCCCTGAATTGATTTTTGTGCGTACACAAGGTACAGACTGGTCGATTACCGTCATACCTCATCACCGGACAAGCAATAAAGAAACCAAAACCTGTCTGTTTTCAAAATAAATATTTAATTAAAATGAGAGGTGATTTCAGGCGTAAAACAGAAAAATATTCACAATCCCATAAGCAAGAATCGAAAAGAGTTTCCAATACCGATTCCGTTTTTCTTTGCCGGTTTGGCAACACTGCAGATGTGCAGATAACTTTAAAATAATAAGAAAATATAACAATGCTTGGATATATATTTTCATAAAGGGGGATGTTTGATTCTGACTTATAATATCTAGACGATTGATGCGGATACTTTTACAAATATCGATTGTTTTAGGACCCAGAAATTCAGAATGTGCTATTTGTTTACATTTGGTGTGGATTTCTAGATCACAAATTGGCAAAAAATGTTTTTGATGTAACAAAAGATGATGAACCATTTGGAATACGTTTTATATCCTTTTTTTTGCAAAATAAAAATCGGTACATTTCTACAGGTACGTATTATGTACAACACCCTGTACGTGATATACAGACAAAATTAGATTGCCATGCATGGACAGTCATCAAAAACAGTGATAACATCCTACCAAAAATAATAGCTAGAAAATCGACCTATTATTTCTATCATTTTCATTGGTCCATTTAAATAACCGACCATCTTTTCTGAAATGATAAAAATTTGAAATTCTATGAAAGTTATCCTAATTCTAAAGCACAAAGACATAATATTACATCTGTAATGTACCCTTATTTGTAAGGAAACCGTTTTTTCACGATTTTATTCAATAGAAATCACTGATATTCAGAGAGCTTTGACAGCTGCTGTCAAATTGCATTTCGATAAGGTATTTTACCATTGGCCCAAGAGACCGTTAAATATTAACGTTGGTGAAATTGGAAGACTACCTATGACTGTGTTTTTGTCAAGGACGTGAATTTTTCTTCCTACTTTAGTGACGAATTTCTTTTTTTTATAGGACGTAATGGTAGTGGGTGAACCGACGCTGATGGGCGGCGAGTTCGGCGACGAGGACGAGCGACTGATCACCAGGCTGGAGAACACGCAGTACGACGGCGCGAACTCCCTGGACCACGACGGTCACGGCTTCCACGGCGGTCCGGGCGGTCCGGGACCTGGGGGCCCGGGTCCAGGTGGGGGGCCGACGGGCAACGGTGGTCCGGGAGGTGAATCGCCTATGCCGGGGGGCAACTCGTGGCCCCCCGCCGGCGGTCCGGGTCCGGGGGGTCCCGACAGAGGGGGTCCTGGCGGACCGCCGCCTCCGAACGCCAACAGTGCCGCGCAGGACAGTGATAAAAAATCGCCGGCTGTCACACAGTGATAGACAGACTCTTTCTCACGACTAGAATCTCTCCAAGTCAGTATTCTTCGTTGATTAGGGTGACGGATTTCGAGCGGGCTCGCTGGTTTCTGTTTGTAGAGCCGCGATACAATTTTTCGGAAGAATCGATACCAGAGTTTTCGAAAACGAGAACACGTGTGATGACCTTGAGTGTGATCTTCAAGTGCAAGGTCAGATTTCAAGGTCAATTTTTCGCAGTTTTTTAATACTTTGATATCACCACATTTTCCGAAATAGACACGTTATATTATCAGCTTTCAAATGCAAGGTCAATTATCTGCATTTTTGAAAATTCATTTTTTCATCATCCATTTCTCGAATCCGCATCCGCGATCTAAATTTATCGATTGGCTGTAGTTTCCGCGGTATCCTAACCTAAAAGTGCGATTTTGCTTATATTTGAGTTTATGAAGCATAACGAAACATTTTCTTTTCCAAAATACCATATATGTCATTTTAAAGTACAAAAATTGCCCTTTAACATGCCGTTGAGCTTTTTTAAATATCTTTTTCAACCGCTGAGATAATGGCACTTTTATGTTCCAAAACTACACTTTTCGTAGGTATCCAGTTCTTTCAAATGCAAGGTCAGATTTCAAGGTCAATCTTCCGCATTTTTTCGAGAATATATTTATACAAAATAATACCAACTTTTTGATTAACTTTGATAAACTACGTATGGAAGATTTTGCTTATATTTGAGGTTATGAAGCATGGCTAATCATTTTCTTTTTCGAAAGACCATATACGTCAACTCAAAGTACAAACATTGCCCTTTCAAATGTTGTTGAGTTTTCTTAAATATCTTTTTTAATCGCCGAGATAATGGAAGTATAAAAATTTAGTTTTTCTGAATTTCACTACTTTTGCCACTGTATCCTTTTTTTTTAAAAACTATACTTTTCGTCGGTATCCTGTTTTTTCAAATACAAGGTCAGATTTCAAGGTCAATCTTCCGCATTTTTTCGAGAATATATTTATTCAAAATAATACCAACTTTTTGATTAACTTTGACAATCTACGTATGGAAGATTTTGCTTATATTTGAGGTTATGAAACATGGCTAATCATTTTCTTTTTCAAAAGATCATATATCTCATCTCAAAGTACAAATACTGCCCTTGTAAATGTTGTTGATTTTTCTTAAATATCTTTTTTAATCGCTGAGATAATGGAAGTTTAAAATTTTTTTTTCTGATTTTCACTACTTTTGATACTGTACACATTACGATTTTGTGTACATCAAAGTTATCTTTTGGACTATAATACATCAAAATTTTAATAACAAGTTAATGCATTTTCATGAAATGAACTTTTTTTTAAAATAAAAAATTACTTCTAATAAAAAAGCTGAACCGATTTAGATCAGAAAACTGAAAATTTCAAAGTGCTTTTTCTCAGCGAATAAAAAAGATATTTGTGCAATTAAAAGGGCAAGGCATGTACCTTGAGATGTCTGCGATTTCAAAAAAAAATCGCTATTCTACATAACCTCAAATATAGGCAAACATCCGTATTTTTGCATATTTAGGTTGGTTAGAGCCAATCGTGAGATTTAGACCACGGATTCGGATTCATTGCATTTAAAATCTTAGTAAAAGTATATTCTGGTTTCTGTGTAGAAATCTTATCGGCCTGTGTAATGAAGGAAGTCCAAGCAAACTTACTCTCCAAAACTTTTCGTATCGTGTTCTTTCTATCTGCATTACAAAATCAGCGAGTCCGATTTAGGGCTGTTGTTGGTTTGCAAAGTGTTTATGTGTAATTTTCCTATTTTTGTATATATGTATATATGGTAATTATTCCTATTTTCAATTTATAAAATACGAAGAGTTGGTGGTGCAAGTTTTTGATTGTAGGCCATAGATATTTCAAATTTATCATTGACAGAAGCATGATTAAAAGCTGTTCAACTAGAAATTTATCCTGTGGTTTTCATGCTGATAATAATTCATGTTTGTCTGCTCAATTTGAAAATCGGCGCATCATTTTGCAAGTCATCGATTCCGTCATCATTGGAACCAGTCTCGCCGCTGTCAAAAAATTCTGTCATTTTTATGTCAACCATTCAATGACAGATCGTGAATTGTGACGTCACTGCGATGCGCGCGAAAAATGCGGCGATCAAATCAACGTCATTGAAAGTGCTCTTTTAAATGTTCAATTAGAAAAATTACAGATATTCCCGTGCATTAAATACGTGTTTATCGATTATATTAACGTAAATAATCGACAGAGAATACAAAAAAGATGCGTTTGTACTTGAAAAAGGCTACCATTGTGGCCGGAAGTTGTCATCATTTCAAATATTTCGGTTGTGGGCTTTGAGAAATATTTTATCCGGATTTAATGTTCAAAATCGTTATTTCGCATAATTTATATTTATACAGGGTGCTCGAAAAATAGAACGCAGATGTTTTAGAGGGAGTTTTTATAAACAGTGGTCCGGAAATGCAGAATTTTCAAAATACATGATGAGAGATTTAAAAAAAATCATTAATTTTTTGCATTTCTTTGATTTTTCATTTTCCAAGGCACGTAATTTTTTTAGCAAAAATTAATAAACCAATTGTGTCGAGTGACACGGTTTTTATTTTTTTTCTCGAAAACGAAATTAGCCTCTTGGGACAACAAATAACTGTCAAATTTCAACAGAAAGGAGTAAATATTTTTTAAGATATTAATGAAGAGTTTTTATTAATATTTTTTTAGAATATATCACCTTGTATCTGCATTTCCGGACCCACGTTTAAAGGAACTTTTTTCATATTTTTCTCACCTTCTAAAATATCTCCGACTATTTTTCGAACACCCTGTACAACGTGATGGTGAGATATCAGATGATATTTATTTTGATATGTTTTTTGAGTAGTACGAAAGTGTTTGACTTTGGAATGGTGTCTCGTCCACTTGAAAATATATTAAGAATAAACAAATTGATCGTTGAATTATTGTAAAAACAATGAAATACACAATATATGGCCTTGACATTCAGGTATAAATTTTACGGATTGTCCTGTCATATCTTTTTTTTCAATGACTTTTTATCTATATTTTCCGTTGATATCTGCTTATCTGTTTGAATCTTTCTAATTGAAACACTTGTTTATCAGGCCATCGTCCATATACAACCTTGAGCAGCTTTTAATCAACACTATTTACCATATCAGCTACGTTTTGTTGATTTTGATACATAATTTAACTCCTTACAGGACGTCTGAAAATCGAAAACGTTAGAATTTGAAAATTTGAAACAAGATCCTACTTTTCGGAAAAATAAAAAATCTGCTAGCTTTGAAAAACTTTACGATAAACAGAAGTTTAAATATAGTATCTTTTTTGAATTGGCCAGATTATGGACTTGTATGAACATGAAAACCACAGATTAAATTTTATGTAACTATTGAAGAAAAGTATCCTATGTCTTAGATGGTCAGATGTCCTGTATTTATTTGAGCATTAATTTCTTCTCTGATATCATTCAAAATTAACCACAGGAAAAGGCAAATCTGCAATTTTGATTTTTAAAATTTTCGCCAGTGAAAAAATTCTCGTATATTTTTTATGCAGTTTTAATTTTCGGTACCTAAATGTTCTTATTTTTAGTGGTGGTTTCCCTGTTTAAGAACTTTTATTACATCTTGGTTTTTACAAATAATTTGACGTATTTTGAATGATTTTGGAGAAATTACGAAAATATATTTTCATTAATGACCGAGAAAAATACATAATTTTTTTGAAAATGAACTGCTTTCATGGCAACTGTGAGTATAAGAAAATGGAGTTTCAAGACCGGATATTTGAATATCATTTTAGTTAAAACTTTTCCAGTTATTTCGTTGAACTTCTGTGTTTTTCTCCCCGAACATGGCATTTTCAATATTTTACATTTTTTTCCACAAAAACATCACCTTGAAATGTAAACCATGACTTCCGTTGAAACAGAAACAATTGCAACTCAACACCAAGCCTGAACATGTTTTTCATAGCCAGTGACTGCATTGTTTTTTTTTTATTTTCACACACGAATCTGTTGAAAAAAATGTGGAGTGATACGGACTAGAGTGATGGGGGATTTCGGTGTTGTTAGCACGAAAATTTCGAATTTAACGAAGATATGTTGTCGTGGGTCTTGATGGGGACCATAAAAAATGAAAATACAGGGTGTTCCGCGAAGATTTGCAACGATTGATTACTCGAAAATTAGGTAGTAAGACAATTATGAAAAAATGAGGTTTTGGTAAAACTAAAGGGTAAAATATTTGAAACATTGTGGTGTGTGTTTAGAATCCTGAATAAAATTGAATAACATGCCGTCTGACGGTTACTTTTCGGGTGGTTGTTCGTTGCAGTTCTTTGTGGAACACCCTGTATATGGTAGAGTGCACTGACTCTGCAGACAGAAATCGTCAATGTTTCAGTCGGTTTTGATTTCAAATTAGGGGTTCATACGAATTTTAAAAACTGTTATTTTGCGGGAAAATTGATGTTGATGCACTACTCAAAAAAATCGGTAATTTTTGACAGGTTGAATTTCGGTGAAAAATCGTCGCATCTAAACTTAAAAAAAGCATTTTGAAGATTTAAGATTCTAGTTTTCAGGTTTTTTGGCCAAAACATCTTAGGAGCAACGGTTCTCATGCAATTTTAAGAGATAGCTGAAGAAAAAAATTTTTGAAAATTTTTGCTTTTTTTTGTCCACGGACCCGAAAATACTATTTATTTTCTGTTACGAAATACGGATCGGATAACCCGCTTATTCTGCTTCAATATCCCGTTTTTAAAATTTTGATACGATCATCTGGCGCGGAGATATCTGACTTTGAATGAAAATACATATATCACTGGCGGTAAAGGGATTCTTTTTTATTCAAAGTCAAATATCTCGACTCCGAATTATCGTATTGAACTTTTAAAAACAGGATATTGAAGCTGAATAAACGAACTATCTAATCCATATGATGGTCTAACCTAAAAAA